TAAATGGAACCAAAAGTGATTCCTGTAGTAGGGGGAGGAGGCACAGTAGATAAAAAGAAGAAATGATGTGGCAGATTGCATTTCTAACAATGGGCACAACATTGTTTCTTTTTACAACATGGCTCTGACACTCTTCCCCTTGAGAGGTGAAGTCTATGTTCCCTCTTCTTCAATATAGGGAGGCTTGTGACTACCATGGAAGTAATGCTATGTGATTTCCAAAGCTAAGCCATAAAAGGTGAGTTAGCTTCTGCCTGGTTTTCTTGTGATGTCTACACATGGAACCCAGCACCATGTTGCGAGGAAGCCCAAGCAGCTACGTAAAGAGGTCACATAGGGAGGTTATGGCTGACAGCTCCATCTGATCCTAGCTGATAGCCAGCATCAACCACCAGACATGTGGGCGAGCAAGCCTTTGATTAGTTTCCAGTTCTTGAATCACCACCAGCCTTTGAGTCTTCCCAGCTGAGGCAGCAGACATTGTGGAGCAGAGACAAGCTGCCATTGATGTATCCTCTCTGAATTCCTGACCCACAGAATCTGTGACAATAATAAAACAGTGGTTGTTTTACACTACTAAGTTTGGGGTGGCTTTTTAATGCAGCAATGGTGATCAAAACAGGTGGTAAGGAGGAAGGGGAAGTAATGGAAATAATAAAAGAAAAACTAGGATTCAGCCCTTCCGAAAAGCAAGATTCCATAGGTTGCTTTACTAGTTCTTGAGAGTGTATACTCCCAGGGAAGTGGTCTAAGCTTTTCTGGGGTGGAAAGTAGAGTCCTTGGTATCATGGGTACCAGGAAGGTGTCCACAGTGTCTAAAGTATAGAAGTGGAACAAACTCCTTCATCATCAACCATCTGACAGTCCTTACACAAACAAGGGTGTGGTCACACAGATGGGGTAGAATTTGCCATCTTCCTGTCCCAGTTACATCATTTAAGAGAATATCCGTTTTGGGTTGATGTTATGGTTAATTACACTTAATATGAATTAGTAATCAAGGTTTTTTTTTTTTTTTTTTAATAGCATGAATCACAAGAGACAGATATAAACCTCATACATAGAGCATTTTTAAAAGAGAGTCTCTTGAGCTAATTTTGTCCACTCCCTATCTGTCATGGTTTGAATTATGTTCCCCAAAAAATGTGTTTATCAGTTTAGCTGCGCTCTGATTCCTGGTACTGTGTGATTTTCCTGTATGTTGTAAACCTGCCTTTATGATGTTAATGAGGGAGGATGGGTGGCAGTTGTGTTAGTAAGGCAGGACCTGATCTACAAGACTGGATTGTATCCTGAGGCAATCTCTTGAGATTATGAAAGAAGTGAGCAGAGAGACGGGGGACCTCATACCATCAAGAAAGCAGTGCTGGGAGCAGAGCGCGTCCTTTGGACCGGGGTCCCTGCACTGAGAAGCTCCTAGTCCAGGGGAACACTGATGAGAAGGCCGACAGAGAGAGAAAGACTTCCCCTGGAGCTGACACCCTGAATTTGGACTCTTAGCCTACTTTGACTATGAGGAAATAAACTTCTCTTCATTAAAGCCATCCACGTGTGGTGTTTCTGTTATCGCAGCACTAGATGACTAAGACACTATCTAAGGACCTTGACACTTAATTAAGCTGAAGGTTCCCAGATCCATGTATTTATACATAATATCTTGAAAGTTCTTTAACTCTGTTATGAAGATGACAATGAATTTGTTGAGAATGCGTTGATCTGCAATGAGAACAACTTGTAAAGTGTACCTCGTGTTCATGTGGTTTCAGCATGATAAAGGACACCAAGGTCTACTTCTGCATCAGTGAACTTGTGACAAACCTGAATTGGTGTGCCTGCACTGATTTGATTTGTTTGATTTTTGCTTTCAGGATTTATAGATTCTTTCCAGTATGAACCACTGCCCTTTTGCCTTTTTTTTCTTTTTTGATTCACAGAGTGCGTTACTAATTTTTATCTTTGCTTGTGTTCTTGCTCAGAATGCAGTTTCAGACTCTTATCAATTGATTTCTATAGATGTGTGTTTCCCTCCAACATGTACATTACAACCTAGTGGCTTCACCTGTTAACAAAAAAAAAAAAATGGCTGAAAAATTTACAGCTCTCGTACCTCACCTGACCACACCATCTGCATTCTGTCTGGTGGTGGTGATGTTTTCTTTTTAGAGGGACCAACACTTGAGGCAAACTGTGGCAACGGGAAGGGAATTTTAAATCTCATTTGGAGGGAGGAGTCTCTTTCAGGTTAGAGTGTGAGCTGAAAATGGATCTGCTCATCTGGGCCTCGCTCCCGCTTCCTGTATTACACCATTAAACATCCTCCCAGGGACCAGAAGCTCCAGGAGATGCTGTTTAATCACTGCATGCCCAGTATCACCAGGACAATATTTGCAGGATGTGGGACATGATAACCCCCTGTGGATAGGATAACAGCTGTTCCCAGCTGTAACACATGTAACACAAAGGGAAATCATCAGAAAATTTTCCTCAGGGCTAATGGTAGAAAGGAAGAAAGTTACAGAGGTTAATTTGCCCACACTCACAAAATGGGTATGTTGTAGAGCCAGTTTGGGTCCAAGTTCATGCTTTTTCTTATGCTTTGCTAAGTTTATTTATTTCTACATCACTCTGTACCCTCAAAGAAGATATGTGAGAGCTGCTTTTCAGGGGAGGAAAGGGTTTGTGGGTCCTGATGCAAGTGGGCTAATAATTTATCTAATCTTTATATATTTAAGAGAGAGTGACTATACACCTGAGATTCTCAGTGTGGTCCCTGAACCAGCAGCATCAGCATCACCTGGGAACTTGTTAGAAATGCAAATTTCCCCAGGTCCACTCAATCAGAAGGGAGCCCTCGTGGGGTAGTGGTTAAAGCGCTCAGCTGCTAACGCGAAAGGTCGCCAGCCACTCCGTGGGAGAAAGATGTGGCAGTCTGCTTCCATAAAGATTTACAGCCTTGGAAACCCTATGGACCAATTCTGCTCTGTCCTATAGGGTCACTATGTGTCGGAATCGACAGCAGTAGGTACTCAATTAGAAATTCTGGGGGTGAGGTCCAACAAGCTATAGTTTAACAAGTCCTCCAATTGATTCTGATACACATTTGAATAGGGTGGTTAGGGAAGACTTCACTAGTAAGGAGGCCTTTGAGCAGAGATCTGAAGGAAGTGCGGAATGAACCCTGTGGATTTCTGGGGAAATAAGCTGTCTGGCTCTCAGAAAATGAAGTATTTTATTCACAATTTTTCCGTACTTTGTAAAATATTCTTTAGCAACAGAACGTCGAAAAAAGAGATCGCTTGCATCATCTAGCCACGAAATACTTATTAAGCACCAATTGCATGCAAAAGTTTATGCCAGCTGCTGTGGGGAAAGGAAAGATGAATAAAATATGGTCCTCACCTTCTGTGAGCTCATCAAAAGTTGATGAGCTGAACATATTGCATGTACCAAGAGAATAGAGATAAAAGTAGCACAGTGGCCTGCCTCATTGATGGCTGTGTGTAACACCCTCTTACAAAGTGAAGAATATGGATTAAACTCACCATTGAATTGTTGATGTTATTAAACCATCCTTTGTCTCTTTTTGGATATTGGAGCATGGACAGCATTCATTAAAACTTAACATTTTGAACTGTAACATTCACCTAGTCAGTGACTGAAAGAGAATGCCCATCCTCATACTTCTTCGCCATTGCTCTTGCCTTATGAATCAGCCCAACCCCAAGAACCTGAGGCTAGATCAGGATCACGAAAAAGTCATCATCTAACTGTTCAGCAATTAAACAAAATTGCCATAGATTTTTCCCTTCTATTTAAATTTTATTAAAAGAAGTGCTAAAGTACTGAGATGCAGTACATCATATTTATTACCAAAATTATTAACAAATATACAAAACTTATACATGTAATTTTCTTACATCCATTTATTCTCCATAATACTGATTTTGTTCAAGTAGGTTATCTACAATATGTAAACATCCCTTGGGTTTGACGTCACACAGATTAGGAAAGCCTTCTAACCCATGCTTTTATCAGATACTTCTTTATTTGGCTTTCATTTGTAGCATCTAATCTTCACATTTGGCACATGGAAGAGACATCTACAGTGCAAAAGAGGCAGATTTTCTGGTTTCATTCTGAACAATTTGTCAGGGGCACAGTGAAAATAGTTGAGAGGAGAACAAGAGCACTCTAACTTGGAGTTGGATTAGTTGTAATAGCAACAACTCTTGGTTCAGCCATTAAACTTGAGCACAAAGTCAACGTCTCTTCCTTTTCCCACCCCCACCCCTCCCCCATGCAAGGCTGATTCAGTCTTAACATCGTCTCAAAAGGGTTAAAAGAAATTTCACCCATCCCAGAACAAATAGGTTAATCTCACCAAGGAAGAATTTTTCTGTGTTCTTTTGTGTGGGTTGGTTTCTGCGGTTTGATGAGTCAGTAAAACTCTTAAATGGTGAATAAGATAGAAAATGGATATGATGAGAGTAGGACTTCCTGCTTCCAGTTTCCACCTCTGTGTTTAAGATCTGAGGGAGAGCTGGTGGTGCGGTGGTTAAAACGCCTGGCTGCTAACCAAAAGGTCGGTGGTTGGAACTCACCAGCCACTCTGCGGGATAAAGATGTGGCACACTGCTTCCATAAAGATTACAGCCTTGGAAACCCTATGGGACAGTTCTACTTTGTCCTATAGGGTCGCAAAGAGTCGGAATCGATTCCACAGCAGTTGGTATTTAAGATAGCGCCTCTCTGTAGTGGCAAAGTAGTAAAGGCCTTGGTGACTGGCAAAGAAAAACCAAGCATGCCAGAACACCTTGGACTCCAAGCCTTTGAACACACGGTAATGGGGAAAAAAAAAAAAAAAAAAAACAGAAAAAAAGGAATTGGAGATTTTTCTCTCCTCTTTCTGTTTCCTTTTGATTCTTTAACTTAACCTAACCAAGTAAAGCTGATCCAGAGAGAGCCCTGTTCGCCCCGCTCACCCCATTCTCACTCTCCAGCACAGTATTGCTTGTGTGGTAGGCTGCACCTCGACCGCGAAGCATCTGTTGACAACGTGCCTGAATTGGGACGTGCACCTCCCGGCTTCCGTCACCACAGGGGCGCTGGCCCCTCCGCTGCCCCGTAGAGCTCCGCCAACTTTCGGAAGCGGGGCCCCCAGTCTGTGAGGAAGTCGAAGCTCTGCTCCGAGTCTGATGTGGCTGACTGCAGGGAGCTCAGTGAACCTGCCACAGAGCCGTCGCCCTCGAACATGTACGTTTGGAGGGAGTCGAAGGGTGGAGCCCACAGGTCCATGTCGGCCTCGTAGAGCTTGGCCAGCACATAGCTGTGGACCGTGCTGCTCACCGCGCATGTCTGAGGCACGTAGCGGGACAGGCTCTCAATCTCGGGCAGCATGTCCTGCCGCGTCTTGGTGGCGGTGCCCGTCTGAGCCTCCCGGGGGTTCCACATGGCCGCGATGTCAAAGGCCTCCGTGTCCTCCTCGCCACCGCCCTCGTCATCGTAGCGGACGATGTTTTCGTGGATGTTCTCGTCGTCGTCAATGATGTAGGGCTGCTTCCGGTGCCGCCTTATGGACAAGATGAGCAGTACCAGCACTGCAAGAAATAGAGGACAGGCTCTTTACTCATGAGACTTGGCAGCGTGTACCAGGGATAGAAATATTCTTGATTAACCAAATATATGGGAAGCCGGTTTACTAAGTGGTGGGCTCAGAGACATGGCTATTTTAAACTACGAGGAGTTGTATTTTAATTCTACGTCGTTCTGTACCTGCCGTCTCAGATTGAGAAATGGGAAGATAAATATACTGAGAAAGCCTCGGTAGTGTGTGAGTGAATGAAGCTCTGTTTTTTGCAAGTGATTCAATTGGAAGTTGCATTTAAAGTCTGCATTAGCTTGCCTCATTGAAATAGTGTCTGTGTGTGTGTGCGCGCGCATGCAACCATCCAGTATCAAATTCTATTAACAGAGCACTGCTGCCTACCATGGAGTCAGATCGGATCATGTCCTCTGACTGCATAAAGAAAAATATACGTTCTTACTGTAATGTGGAAATTTTACGTAGGTGCAATCTGCTTTCTTACATTAGTATCATAATAGGATTCTACTTTGTAAATATAATATGTTAATGCATATGCATATAGACTCATATGCTAAATATGAGCCAAACTCATGGTCTTTTTATACCATCTCCAAAAATATGAGAGAGCATAAATGACCCCTGTTCAATAACCTCAGATTCCCCAGAAAAGCCTTCCATCAGGGAGGTGGTTGTGACTTTCTGGATCCAGTGGTGTTCATGCAAGGGAGGGAATAAGCAGTGACATTTTATATAATTCATCATGTTATCAAAGAAACACCATGCTGTTAGATGTGCCCTTGCAGGTTTGGATAAAATTTTATCCCAACAAATGCATCCCCCCCACCCCCCCAAACCAGGATGTGTTCACTGGGGTTTAAAGGAGAGAGAGAGGGAGAGATAATCCCATTGAGCTGTTTATCTCTGTGACTGCAAATGTTTTCCAGGAAGTGTGTTGAGGTTTGAGCTGTGGAACTGCTATTGATTTTTTTTTTTTTCGTAGTGTGCTTTGTTACAGCTGGTGAACACTGACAGCATGACAACACTGCAAAATAAGACTCCAGTTTATCCAAGGGGGGAAAAAAATGAGTATCGTCATATGTGCAGTAACAGTTTAAGGACTGACTAATAAAACTCACAAGAATAATTCTTTAAAAATTTGAATGTAGAATGAGCTTTTTGTAAATTGTAATTAATACCTAATATTTTCCATAATAGTTTGGGAGTCAAAGTGTGTACACAGGAAAGTTATATACTTTTTTATATTTTTCTCTCTGGGAAAATATGAGGCATGGTTTATAAGGACTGTGAAATTTCAGAGAAAGAGACTAAGGGCTTTAAGGAGTGGGGACTTGGACTGGACATTGAAGACTGGAGTGTGATTTGAATGGATGTAGGCTGGAGAAATGGGATTCTCAGGGAACATGTTGTGTTTGTGAGAGTCAGTAAACAGTTACTAAACCCAGATATTTTTCAGGCACTGAGGAAATAGGGTTGAATACGACATGGTTCCTTCTCTTGAGAGCTTGCTATCTAAGCAGACTGTAGACACAGTAATACAAGCCAAAGTGAAAAGGGTTATAGAGTTACAAAAACAAACAAAACAACAACCCATTGCCTTCAAGTTGATTCCGACTCATAGCGACCCTATAGGACAGAGTGGAACTGCCCCGTAGGGTTTCCAAGGTTGTAATCTTTATGGAAACAGACTGCCATGTCTTTCTCCTGTCTGGTAGCTGGTGAGTCTGAACCACCAACCTTTCAGTTAGCAGCTGAGTGCTTACCCACTGCACCACCAGGGCCCCTACAGAGTTACAAGTGTTGCCAAAAGAGCACAGAGGTAAGGCCTGCTAATTCTGCCTGCCTGGCTGGGAAAAGCTTCACAGAGGTGATGTTGGGAGTGGGTAGGGGTAGTAGTTTGGAAAATGCTAGGAAACAAGATTAGAGAAGTATTTGAGTACCTGCTGGAGAGAATTCTGATGGCGATGGAGTTATAGAACTGGTCCATCTCTTGAAAAAAAGATTGCTATATGTCTTTTTTTTTAGATAATTTGATTTAAATAATTAAAATTACTTCATAATTCCCTGAAAATCAGATTTTGGGGAAAAAATGGTGTAAGTCAGCTGAAAACTTTCACTGGCAGAAGAGAATTCTATGGGTGTTTATTTTTTAGGTACTACAGGCACAGTACATAGGGCCTGTGAGATTTTCTAGGAAGTAGATACGTAGGGTCCCTATGAGTTGGAATTGACTCAATGGCAACAGGTTTTTTTTTTTTTTTTTAAGATACATGTGTGAGACCTGAAAAAAACCCTGCAAAGTCTGAATTAAAAAGTGTTTAATTGTCCACAAAATGTAGTATTCTGTTAAAAGACTCAACTGCAATTCAAACCTTAAGTAGTTTTATGAATTGTACTTAATGTGCATTGGCATGCATTCTTCTAGGCCTCAAGTTGTGGGTGGGGCTTAAAAATAAGAGTGCTTAAATCTAGGAGGATTTTACAATAGCTCTGCTCAGTTTAGCTCCTGAAAACTGTCTACTCACTTGGTACAGTTCAAAAGACAAGGCATAATGGGCTTGGGAGCCATGAAATAATTGTCCCTTGCATACTAGTTCTACCTGTGAGCCTCCTCCATGCCAGCCTCTTAAAAGCAGTCTTTCTGTAACAATGGCTGCTTCCATTCTTTGTGGGCCAGGGTGAACTTATAACGTAGGTGTTTTGCAAAGACAGAAGGAAAGACAGGCGGTCTGGAAATTTCTCCTAGGAGCCAGTTTGTTTAAAGGCCTCTTGTAGATTGTACTGCTCTGCACTGAAGGGCTCCCAGTGCCACCTTATGGACACTCCTGGAATTGCAGGAATGCTTTATTTGTCAACACAGACAGGGACCAGAAACCTTAACAACTTGCTCTGATACCAGGGATCCAAGGACTGAGAAAGGTTACTTGTTTATACTACTTTTCTCTTCATGTAGAACTGAACTAAAACAACAAAATGAAACCACATTTTGTATTTTAAAGTGTTTTTTTAGAAGCATATTTTACAGGCCTACCTAAAATTTCATCCAAGTGCTGGCATTTGGCTTCATCAGGAACTTCTTCTTTGCTCTGACTCAGTCCCTTGGTGTAGGGGTGAACATGGGATCAGGGATGATGCATGTGGATATCTGCATGTCTATACTAATTTAAATGCCAAGTGCTTTACTTTTTCCCTCATAGGAAGTTAGGATTTCTTTTATATTGAATAATACTATCTACCAAATCTTGTCTCTAAGCAAGATACATATGCTATAGATAAATTTAATCAGAAGAGTTGGGATATGTGTACAGATATTTTCTTGGTTTCAAGAGGTGGTTTAAGTGTTTTTTTTTTTTTTTTTGGTTGGGGGGTATGGAGTTAGCAATCAATTGCTCAAGTGGTCTTATGTACAAGGGAGCCAGGTGACTGCCTCACAGTATGATTTGAAAGGAGGAAGGAAGGATCCTCTGCCCAATAGTGCTCTTCCACTAGCCCCTTTTTATTTCATCACCAGAAGCAAACTGGGCCCTGTTTAGTAACTGCTCCTTGTTAGATGTCCATAATGCTTGGGAAGGGTGTTAATGCCCCCAGACAGCTTATTCCTCCAGAAATCCACATGGCCCATCCATCACTTCCTTCAGATCTCTGCTCCAAGGCTTCCTTACTAGTGAAGTCTTCCCTGACTACCCGATTTAAAAGGGTGCCTACCCCATACTCCCTGCCCTCCCCAGGACCCTCTTCTCCTTCCGTTCACTATAACATTGACCACCATCTGATACATAAACGTGTATATTCACTTACATGTGTACTGTCTCTCTCCATGAGAATGTAAATCCCTTGATGGTAGGGATTTTCATCTATTTTGTTCACTGCTTTTTCTGTCACTTTAACCAGTGCCTAGCATATAACAGGTACTCAGTAACTACTTGTTGAATGAATGAATTATTTTAGAGGAGTCTCCTATGGGCAAAGGACAAAGGAAATGGGTATTTTGATACAAGGAAGGTGGAAAGGCCAGGTAAGAGTACAGTTAAGGAGTGCCTGTGTGAGGTGTTAGAGTTGGCGGCAGTCAGCAGCCTTACAGTGGCATCAAAGCACCTGGATGGTGGAATGGAGGTGGGGAAGGAAGCCAGTTATGAAGGGGAGCAAGCTCTGAGTGGAGGTGGGAGCTTGCCAGAATTCAGACTTTTCTTATTTTATAATTTTGCTCAGGTATTGCTCTGTTGGCACATTTAAAGTACCAGCAGCACTCTCCACTAAAGCATGTCCTCAGATGTCCTGCTCATGGATCATGAGCCCCTGGTCAGGGCCAACCCCATTGCCTGGCACACTGCCCTAGCATGATGGCAGTAGCTTGTGGGCACCATCATAGCACATAATGACAGCAGAGGCCTCTGATCCTGGAAAGCTGTGAACGTGAACACAAAAGCAAAGAGGAGGCATCAGAAGCTGCCAGAAAGGCAAAGATGATCTTTGGGTCTAGGGATCTTTCTGGAACTGGAATATTGAGACGTACTGCCATGACTAAAATATAGAGCCTGACTTCTATCTGCCGTGAAAATAGAAATAGCCTAGGGTCTGGACAGGATTTGAGAACAGAAGGTAGGAGATACCTGATGTTTGTCTTGATGAGATCAGTGATTTTCTGCCAGGGCTTTGGTCTGGCCTCGCCTGACCACTTTGCAAGTTATTTTCCTTCCCTGAGCCGCTTTTGCGGCATTGCTAGAGTAGTGTTTGCTTTCAGGGTAAAGTGTCTAGTACAGACTGTATTGAACATAGAGCACAGCCAAACAATGATTCCTTCTTCTCTACTCCCGTAGCACAGGTTGAAGCTGCCTGGATTTGACCAGCTATCAACTGGTGCAAGAGTATGAGAGGATCATCTCATCCTGAGACACCTCAGGTATAGCCTGCCTCCTGTTCTCAAATCTAAGTACAAGCAAGTTTTGCTTCCTTAGCTAGTAGTGGCCTTTTCTATGTATGATGATGTTCACAAGGTTTTAGAAGTAGAGAGGCATCACCCCACATGTCCTCTGATAGGTGTAGATGGTCATTGTGTTAGGGCACTGTGCCACAGAACAGGTAGGATTGCTCAGAGTAGAACTCCTGCTGTCCTGGTCAGCAGCTTATGATTCCAGAACCTGGGGATGAACATTTAGGAGTGGGCAGTGCTGCTGGGCACTGGGGTGCACAGTGTGAGGCCTGCCTGTGTCTCAGTCCTGGCTCTGCCTCTGGGATCTGTCACTTCTTTAAATTTAGCTACTACTTATCTGAAACAAAGGGGCTAGAAGAGGTGGTCATCATGTCCTGTCCAAAGTTGTATTTTTTTTTTTTTTAATTGTATTTTGGTTCTGTGATGTCAACATGAACTTACTTTGTTCTGAAGTCAATTCTGAGAAGGCTGGGACATGTCTTTCTTATTAATCTCAGCACCTAGCACAGTGCCCCAGCACATAGTAGGTGCTTGCTAACTATGTGTGCATTGATCTTGCTAAAAAGGCCATGAGTTCCTTGAAAGAAGGGAGTATTTTCTGTTTCTTCGCTTCTCCCGAGCCCTACTCTGTACTTTTCAATAAGCACAATGTGGAGGACCAGCTCTGAGTAGCTGTGTTAGGATGATGATAACTGACTGAGGTCTAAGTAAGCACTGGTAGGACCCATAGAATAGGAAAGGAGCCACTGACTCACCCAGTAGGACAAAGATGCAGGCCAGGATGGCGATGAGGGCGCCCCGGCTCAGACTGACAGGGAGCATGTAGGCCTCGGGACTGCAGGACATGACGTGGCCGTCATTGTCACAGCTGCACACCTGGACAGTGAGCGTGCCCGTGCTGCTCAGTGCGGGCTGACCGTTGTCCGCTATCAAGATGGGCAGGTAAAAGACGCTCTGCTCCTGCTGCCGGAAGCCAGACCTCCTGGTTAGAATCCGGGCAGTGTTATCTGAGGAAGTGAGGGGGTCCAGGGTGGAAAGAAGGAAGAGGAAAAATGAGAGGGATGAAGAAAACTGAAGAAACAACAAGTGAATTGATTTCTTGGATTGAGGAAAGCAAGGGGCAGGAGTGTAGGGAGGAGCGAGGGCCAGTGGAACATTCCCTAGAGGTGTTTGGCTTTAGCCACATTAGGCTTTGCCTGGATCAGCATTTGAATTCAGAAAACAAGATTTTTTACTTCTAGGCTAAACCCTGAGGCCTAGGAGAGAAAACCTTTTCTGTGAGTCTGTCTTACCCTTTGTGACATAAAGTGCCCAGGGCGAACTGTCAGACTTCAGGTCTAACTAAAATGTCCCCAGGAAGGCTTGACAGAAATGAGCAATCACTGGTGACTTGTGGGCCTGGTTTGTTCCTGCTCAGCAGCTTTCCAAGGCCCTGCTGCTGCTTTGAGCCTCCAGGAAAGAATGCCGAGAGGCCCATGTGGTGGTGGCAGATTGCTTGTTTTTGCCACTTTCCACCCTGGCTGGAGTTCATGTCTCTTGCTATTTTCTTTTATGCCTCTGAAATGCAGTCACCAGTTTCTCCTGTGCTTTTTGAAGAACGTGTTCATTTAGCTGAAGCTTATTTGAAATCCCCTTATTACATGACATGCTCTGTTATTTCCCCCTACTTGGTGGTCAGAATTTAAGCAGTTAATATGAACTTGGTGAGACTCTGTCCTTGATTAGGAATACTAGTTTTTTTTTTTTTAAATCCAGTTTTAAAGGGGATTAGCCAGATTATTGGATGTGTTTCTATAAATCTGATGTGTTTGTGTATGTGTGTATTTATATTTGGCTAATATCATATTCTGGGATTTTTTATTATTTTAATTTATGTTCTCACATGTCCTTGAAGGGGCTTGAGTTCTAAAGCAGACATTTTTGTAAAGGTGAAATCATTTTCAGCAGAGGAAAAGTTTGAGAGAGATGGTAGGACATACAAGCAGTGACTCTCAAAGTTAATGTCAGTACAGAAGGTTCTCTGGATGTGTTTCACATTTCACAAGAAAGAGTCTAGAACTTCAAAAAGAAAAAAATATTCTCAGAGCCTAACCAAAGTAAGCCTTATTAATGATCGTCAATTGTAAGTATCAAATAAGACAAAGTATGGGAAAATGCTTTTGAAACTTGAAACTGTAAAGTGTTAACATAAACTCTATACTTTTCATAGTGCTTTAGGGATAAAAAGTAAAAAAGTCTTTTTTTAAAAAAAATTGTGCTTTAGGTGAAAGTTTACAGCTCAAGTGAATTTCTCATTTAAAAATTTATACACATATTGTTACGTGACATTGGTTGCAATCCCCACAATGTGATAGCACACTCCCCCTTTCCACCCTGGGTTCCCTGTGTCCATTTGACCAGTTCCTGTCCCTTCCTGCCTTCTCATCCTGCTGTTGGACAAGAGCTGCCCGTTTGGCCTTGTGTATCTGATCAAAGAAGCACGTTCCTCACATGTGTTATTTTTTGTTTTATAGTCCTGTCTAATCTTTGTCTGAGGACTGGGCTTCAGGAATGGTTTCTGTTTTGGGTTAACAGAGCATACGGGGCCATAGTTTTGGGGGTTTCTCCAGTCTCTGTCAGACCATTAAGTCTGGTATGCAAGTTGACCTACATGTCTTCTGAAAAAGGTTTTTCTTGAGATAGCCCTGCTGTGTTCATAAAAGGACCTCGAGTTTTGGGCCATGGGAGTGGGTCTTGACAATGGATCCACCATATCAGATGCTGGTCAACTGCTGTTTTTAAAATGCGCTTCAGTAAAGGGTACTGTGGGATAAATTGCCATGAGAAGATTAGGAGTTCAGTCTTCCTGTTGAAGATGTGCTGACTTGTGCTGTAGGAAACCTTCCAAGAGATGAGTCATTTCTTTTTGTGGTCGTCATTTTCCAGGGGCCCATTTTTTTTTTAAAGGTTTTTGGTTCCATGCATTAGTGCCCAAAATCATCTTTAAGAAATTTGCAGCATTTTCCTGCATATTGTTTTTGACAAATGCCTGAGAGAAGGCAGAGAGGCACTTAGCTGAAAATTTGAAGTATACAATGTTAATCCCCTCCCTCCCAGGGTTCCCTTTGTAAAACCAATCCTGAGGAGGCTGAAACCACTTTCTGCAGGAGGGGCTTCCCTGTGAGGCAGATAAATGAGTGGTTCAACATTGTGACCTGGTGAAAATCTCAGAATATTTAATTGTGGTACTTCTGTTGTTATAACTTAGATTGCCCTTCCAGGATTCTCATAGTGGTTTTATGATAACCTGTAGAGGGTTAAAGGGAAGACTTTGACAGAGACTGTCCATTTAGGGGAAAAAAAAAACCATTTTGATATTCTCAAGTCTTATATTAGAAGAAAATGGTGTGGGGCTGAATTACTTCAGAAATACTTTAAGTCTTTAAGTCTCAAATAATTGATGTTTGAGAGTAAGATCAGGCGTGCCTAATCATGACTTTTTGTTCCCCTTTGTTTAGCTTGTTATAAAGTGACAGTTAACATTTCAGAGTTGGAATGAAAACAAGGTGACTGTAGCCCAGAGAAGTGATGACCTACCCAAGGTCAGCCAGCTAGTTGGTAGCAGAATTAGCAGCAGTAGGGGTTCACTTGACAGATTTAAATTTTATGTTCACTTGTTCTGATCTTTATTTGAAGCACATCGTCTGGCTAGAGAACAAAAGTCTCTCGTTTTCCCATCTGTGCCTAAAGAAGAGTGTGCTAGGTCTGTAAATCCTTTAGCATGGATCTGAATGCATATTGGAGGAGAGGGGTCTAGAAATCTCTTCCAGCAGAGCTGCAGTGGGGAGTACTTCCTGGAATAGGGATTCCCCCATGGCTGTGTCTTTCTAAATTATTCTGAAGGGATAAAGTTCTCTCAGTACTGAAACTGGTCTGTTTGCCCCTTGCTAGCTCTAGTACCAAGGAGCCCTGTTGGCACTGTGGTTAAGCTTTTGTCTGCTAACTGAAAGGTTGGCAGTTTGAACCTGCCAGCCGTTCCTTGGGAGAAAGGTGTGGCATTCTGCTTCCATAAAGGTTACAGCCTTTGAAACCCTATGGGACAAGGGGTTTTAACTCTAGTACTTACTCGTTGTCTCCTTTTTGCTCTGCTTTTTTTTTAACTGTTTCCCCCTTTACTCCTTGCTTAGGAATGTCCCCTTAGGGTTTTCTCCTTATCTAGGTCATTTTCTATCATCTTTCTCAGGTTCATCCCATAGTTAACAGAAGATCTAAGCATGGCAGCTATCTGTGGGAATGAAGGGAGGATTTTGTGTCTGGGGCCTGGCACAGTGTCTGGCACAGAGCACGCAGAGCATGCGCTCAGCAGACATTTGTCAGCTGACAAACTGTACGAGGGAAGTCTTGGACTCGGCAAAAGATAGTCTTGCCTTTGATGTGCTAAAACAAAACACTGTGAGATAGCATTAATGTCCTCCCTGTGTTTAAGGACCAGGTGACCTTTGACATGGTTCACATGGTACAGTGGCCAAAATATCCAGCCCAAGCTGTAGAAAAGCACAGAAAGCCAACTATCTACCTGCTTACCTTGATTGTCCCTCACGGTGAAGTTGGGGTTGTTAGAGGCCTCAGGAGCCAGGCTGTAGTAGAAGTGCTGGCCATTTCGTGGGTCATCTTGGTCCACGGCGCTCACCGTCTGGATCAGCTGAGGGAGGGGACATGGCGTCAGGTGAGGTGGAGCCAAAGGATAAAGCTCAGGACCCAGTGAAATCCCAAACCCAGAAATTCAACGGTAGATTTTTTCCGTTAATGAGAAGGATGTCGTGAAACTTACTGGGAAGTCCCCACACCATCATACAACTCGTGATTTAATTTTAGTTTATTTTTTGGCCTAGGACCTTAATGCCAGACCCATTGCTGTTGAGTCAATTCTGACTCATAGCGACCCTATAAGACAGAGTAGAACTGCCCCATAGGGTTTCTAAGGCTGTAAATCTTTACTGAAGCAGACTGCCACATCTTTCTCCCACAGAGTAGCTGGTGGGTTCGAACCACCAACCTTTCAGTTAGCAGCTGAGCACTTAACCACTGCACCACCAGGGCTCCTTGAGGACTTTAATAGACACATGGTAAATTTTACCTAAATACCTCCGGTGTTAGACATCAATGTAACTTGTATCTGCACACGAAGGCCACACTAAAGACTATAGGAAAAGGTCTGTGGGGTGCCCCAAGGCTGCTTGTCTTCCATATTTTCCTTCTCCCACCCTACCTACTTAACCTCACCATTTGGGTTAATTTTTCGGGGTTAGATCACTATCTGTGGGAGGCCCCTATTTAGAGGTGCCCAATATCGAGGAGGGAAGTAAACATACACATGGGCATTGGCTGTGTCAGATGAAGGGAAAACAGATCTGAGGGAATGGACCCCAGGGCAGA